GCAACCTCTGCCTCCCCAGTTCAAGCGATTCTCCTGCCTCAGCCTCCTGAGTAGCTGAAATTACAGGGGCCCGCACCATGCCCGGCTAATTTTTGTGTTTTAGTAGAGATGAGGTTTCACCATGTTGACCGGGCTGGTCTCAAACTCCTGACCTCAGGTGATCCGCCCACCTCAGCCTCCTGAAGTGCTGGGATTACAGGCGTGAGCCACCGCACCTGGCCAAGTGTTAACTTTTAATGCATTTTATTTCCCCAAAGCATTTTCACTCCATTGCCTCAATTGCTATGATGTTAAATAAAATATACCGAAATAAAACCTCTCATATAATTTTTTCCTGTTAATCTGCACACAGAGACATCCCCTTCAAAAGAACAGGAAAAAAAAAAAGCCAAGAATCTCCTCCTGGTCGTAACAGATGGTGCTAGAGCCACTGTACGCTCAGAATCTGTTATCTGCCAGGTTGGGGGTGGCTCAGGTGTGCACACAGGTGTCACTGCCCGGGAGGGGTGTCCTCGGGGTGTGAACCTGAGCCGGAGAAGGAAGGCAGGGGAGCCAGCCAAGTGTCTGCTTAGCCCTGGGTGAAGAAGTTACAGCCAGGCCTACCCCACTAGTGCTGATGCTGCAGGGGCTGAGCTGGGACAGGTGTCCAGGCCACGCTCTCCAGACCACAGTAGCACAGCTGGGAGAGCCGACCTTCACTGCACCTGCCTCAGGGTCCCCAGACGCCCCTCCATGAGTCGCATCCACTTGGTCTTCTAAGTGCTTTTTGAACATTTCTAAATCGCAGAGAAAAGGTGAAAGGATCCCTTTAGCTGTCGGTAGTTTAGGCAGCTCTTTCCATGATTTTTAAACCCACAGTGAGAAAAACATTTTATGCCGTGACCAGGAGCACACAAAACTAACCGCACAATGTGTGAAATGCTCTTATTTTCTATCGATTCCATCTCACTACGAAAACGCAAGTCACATCCACAAATCATCATTTCCAAAACTTCTCAGAGATGAGCGTCACGTAGGATATGTGCTAAGAATCAATTCCAGGCCCACCCTAACCCACCACCTGGAACCCCCGGAGAAGGGGTCCCCAGTGTCCCCAGCGAAGTGGCTTCCCATTAACGAGGTGATGAGTGTGACGGGAAACGCGGGCAATGAAGCCATCCACGTGAGGGCGGAGACACGGGTGAGAGTACCCTGCTGGGGCACAGGAGCCCCTCTGTGCGCTGCACCCAGAAGCTGAGTCAGGAACAGCTAGGACCACACAGCCTTTGCCACCTCGCTAATCCTATTCAGGAATACATTTGTCTCTTCGAGCTGGAATTTAGTAAAAACTGCTGCCACATTCAGATCAACCTGAAGGTTTCTGAAGCTCCACTGGGCCCCATAATTCTAGCCTTTGATTTCATGCGCTCACTGCCCACGTCTAATCTAAGATTTAAACTCCATCGCTTAACTATCCGAGAAGGTTAAAAATATCCAGAAGGCCATTAAACTCTGGGAACTGCCTCAGAGGCCTCCCGGGCCTAGCGTGTGCGTCCCCTACTTCCCGGGGCCTGGGTGAAGGGTGGGTGGTGTGGGGCAGGTGTGGCCCCTCCACAGGCCCCAGCTGAGGAAACCTAGCAGGGACGGAGGACCTGGACCTGCTGGACTGAGACACGAGGATCCCCTCAGGGGAGGAGGACGCAGAGCTGGTGAGGCCTGAGGCCTTCACAGGTACCAGTTCTCACAGTCTCGGCTTCCTTAATTGACTAAGGCAACATAAAGGTCTTCTGTGCTATTTTTATGTTACATTTCAATTAGTCTTTTTCTATAGTCACAATCAAACTAAAATAGTGCATGCTTTTTTTTTTTTTTTTTTTTTGAGGGAATGTATTACTGATTTTGACACAGATCAGAGCATCATCGTTCAGTCCAACCCTCTCATCTGACGTGGCAGGAATCAGAGATCACCAGTTAAAGTCCTGCCCAGCAGCTCTGGCCGCTGGTGACTTCTGCATGGCTGTCTGCAGAGGGAGGCTGTCTGATAGTTCACGGTGCCTCAACAGCACGGAGCTCCTCGTGGCCAGACTGTTGGCGTGGTCTCCCGTCACATGAAAAGGCTGAACCGGCTGTTGATAAGATTCCTGTTAGCAATTCCGTACGTCTGGGTGAACTCCTGGCCCCGCCAGGGACCCGTTTTGACTTGACATTTGCTTTGGGTGCTCCTCGCCCTGATTCCCCAAGCAGACCTGTCCCTACAAACCAGCCTGCGGGTGAGCGGCGCCTGCGGGTGCCCACGGAACACACAAGGCCGACTGCAAGCACACGAACCATCCCACCTCCCGTCTGCTCAGCGCCGACCGCCCGGGGAAGGAACTGCTGAGGCTCCTGCAGGAAAGCTACGGCTGTGAAGGAGCCAGTGCTGTGTTTCTCCGACACCAGCAAGGACCCTGAGTGCCTCCCACACGGAGAGGCGGGGTACATGTCTTGTCAGAGGCAGGCTCCCATTCAGCCGGTGTGGGGGGCCGAGATCCCGCCTCCCAAGCCTCACCTGAGGAAGGGGGTCTTAAATACCCTGGGTCAACGTCCGCCCTCGTTGGGCTCCTCCCCACAGGCTGGGCCGCCTGATGGCAGCCCCCGTCTCTGTCTGAGCAAACTCGCAAGCAGCAAGGGCTCCTTTCCTCACCACCAAGAACATCCCTGACCAAGTGTTAGCCCTAAGATGTCCCCATTCCTCAAAAAATTACCCCCCACCCGTGGACAGGCGCGCAGCACTCAGACACAGGTGGCCGTCCCTGGATGCCCTGCGCGTCCTCGTCCTGCAGGCCTTGCCACCGCTCCCGGCCCGCAGAGCTCATGCCTGGCGGCACAGCCCCATCTGCTCCCTTCACTCCCGCCCCCACGCCTGCCAGGGCTGCAGAGCGACGCGCCTCCCACGGAAGCAGCCCTCCGTTCTCGCTGCCCTCCAGGTGCCTGCCTGAGACCCACTTCTTCCGGAAAAGCAGCCCCCAGTCATCAGACAAAAGAACAACAGAGCTGCGCAGATCCTCCCGAGACATTCAGAACCCAAGCACCTGTTTTTCACCAGGGCAAAACCCACCACACTATCGTTTTGGACGGGCCTGTTCCTACTGACATGATCCATGAGTGGAGGCACCTGCACCTGTGACTACAGCCACGGAGCCCCAGCCGCACGCTGGGCAGAAACCCCCAATCACAGATCGGCTACCCGCCCCCCACATACTTCCTGTGCGCCTGGCACAGGCAGGGCTCAGCCAGGCGCTGAAAAGGGAAGCTGAGCAGCCTCCTGCCCGTGGCAGCTGAGAACTCACTTCCCTCCTTTTCTTCTCATGCCTACGAAAACACCATTTTTTCCCTTAAATTATCGAAATCTCAAGATTTAAAACACACTTTTGCAAAGTGGAATATAACTATTGGCACTGGCCTTGGACAGACCTGGAAGTTGTTTTTGTCACCTCTCCCCAGGGAAGATGCGGACACAGCAACCCTCCGTGGCAACAGTGTATAGTCCCGAGAACGTGACAGCCAAAGTGACCTCATCCCCAGAATGTACCACAATGCCCCCCAAATTCCCAGACTGAGAGGGCTCGGCAATCCCATCCCACTGACTGACTAGGAATTGCTAAGGAAGAAGCTTCGGAGGCCAGCTGTGTAGCCTGCGCCAGCCCAGAGAACAAGGGTGGGGGAGGAGGGCTCCCGCTTCTACGGATCTGCTGGGGGTCTCGGGAAGCCTCCTGGACTCTCAGCAGAACGAAAACCGCCCAGGGCTGAGGCCGTGCCCCTGTGGCGTGTGGCCCGCGCGGTCACCCAGCTGTCTGGGCAGGGCTGAGGGTGGAACAGCCTCTCCACTTAATCACTCCGAGATCTCCCAACTGGGTCAAAATCCATTATTTACAACCTGCCTGCCTTGAGCACACGCGGAAGCCAGAGGTCTCTGCAGCCAGAGGAGAGGGAGGCTCCCGCGGGGAAAGGACTTCCCGGAATTCTCCAGGCAGGTGGAATTGTTCCCAGCCCCCTCGGAGGAGGTGACAGAGGGGTCCCCGCAACCCCTGCTGTGTGGGGAGACCTCGGGAGCCAGGAGCGCGGGCAGCGGCTCCACTGGTCACCCTGAAATCGCAGGACGCCCCAGGGTCTCCGGGACTCGTGGGTTTGGGAGAACGTTCGGGACGCGGAGCGGGCCCTGTTCACCTGCCGGACGCCCCCTATGTCAGTCCGAACCCGGGAGCCCCGCAGCAGGGACTCTCTTCGTCCCCAGTGACCACCGTCCGGACCGGGCTGCGCTCGGCAGGCAAGGCTGGGAGCCCCCCGGGCGGGAGGACGCGGCGCACGGGCTCCGAGTTTGCAGATTTCGCGGTTGTGGGAGCTGAGCTGGGTCTTCTCTCCCCCAATTCGGGCCGCGAGCCTGCGGGTCGAGGAGGCAGAAGTGGGAACGCGGTCGTGTGTCCGAGCGGGAGTGGGGCGTTCATCTCCGGGAAGAAGGGGGACCGGGAAAGGCAAAGCGCGCCGAGCGTTCGCCCACCCCCGCCCTCTCTCCGCGCGAGCCGGGTGCGCCCCCAGCCGAGCCGGGGCGGGCGCCGGGAGAGTCGTGTTTTCCCAGACCCGCGCCCCTTCCTCGCCTTCCGCTCACCCGGGCTCCCGCAGGGCCAGCGCGGACAGACGGGGCGATGTGCGGCCGAGACTTCCATTCACGCGCGCGGCGCGGCCAGACCCGGGAGCGCCTCCGGCCAGGCTCCCCCCCGACCCCCGGACTCCCGGCGCTGAGCAGGAGGGGGCGGCACCAGCCCCGCCCCGCCCGGAGCCGCCCCGGTCCCCTTGGCCGGAATGGGGGGATTCCAAGGTCCCCTCCCACCCTCCCGCGCCCGCGCGCACCGCGCGCCCGGAGAGGAAGCTGCGCGCGGAACCATCGGACAAGAGCCCGCGCCCCCCGGCTCACCGCCCACTGCGGCCCCGGCTCCTTCGCCGCGGACCCCCCACCCTCGGCCCCACGGCGCGCGCAACTTTACCTGCGGTCCAGACTCCGCGAGCTGCTGACTCCGCTTACCCAGCTGGCGGCCTCCTCGGGGCGGAGCGCGGCGTCTCTGGAGCCGGCATCCCAGACTCCGGCACCGCCCCGCGCACCGCCCCCGTCCCGGCCTTCGGTGGCGCGGCGCCCCCTCGCGACATCCGCGGGTCTCCAGGGGCGAGCCGACCCCTTATCGGGTCTGGAGCGGAGGCCACGTCCACCTGGAGGGAGCACAGAGCCCACCCAGCTGCCCTTGGGGCGCAGGAGGCCCGGGCCCCACTCTGCACACCGCACCCACCAGCGCACGCCCTGGCAGGGGCACACGCTCACACTCACATAGGTGTACACTCACATCGACAATCGGTGCAACTCACACACTCCCTGCCACAGTCATAATCACACTCACACAGGTGCACACTCTCACATAAACAATCATAACTTCACACTCACACAGGTGCACACCGACTCTCACATACACAACTTCATTCACAGTCACATGCATACACACACTCATAACCATATTCACCCAGGCACACATGGACACACACACGTGCACATTCACATAGACAATCCATGCAACTCACACACTCACTGCCACATTCATAATCACACACAGGTGCACACTCACATCGGCAATCCGTGCAACTCACACACTGCCACACTCATACACACGCAGGTGCACATTCACATCAGCAATCCATGCAACTCACACACTGCCACACTCATAATCACACACACAGGTGCACACTCACATAGTTTCATAACCCTAGTCATTAACGCACATGCATACACACACTCGTAACCACATTCATTCAGGCACTCATGGACACACGCACACACACACTTGCATACACACACACTCGCACTGTGGTCATTCCAGAGGCACAGGCTGCCTGCTGCCTGCTGTGACCACTCCCAAGCAGCCTCTGGGGTACACGGGAAGAGATGAGGAACCCGGCCCAAGACTCTGGAAGGACAGGACTATGGGTTTTGAGTCAACAGCCAAGGCACTTCTGGTGGAGCGGATCCCCAGGAGACGCCAGCTGTGAGGATTCCGGACGCGTCTGTGGGATGGATCCTGGAGCTGTAGCGGAGCCTCTAGTGTGTGGATGTTTCTCATTTGCATCCACAAAAAGGAAGTGTTTCTCTACAGCTCCAGCCAGAGCACCAGGGCTTGGAAGGGAATATTTTCTCCATGGAAACATCTACCAGATTCAGAGCAGGAGGTGCCTGCACTGCTGTCCCTGAAAGGGCAGAGGCTGTCTTTTTTGGGGGGGGGCGGGCAACTGGTGGTTAGCAGAGGCCTTTGAGACTGAGCAGAGCTGCCCCTGGGGACATTGCTCTGAAGGTCCAGTGGACGTTTGCAGCTGCAGGAGGCAGAACCAACCAGGACCCCTTGATCACAGAAGCCCCTGTTAAACACACTCGTTAGAAAAGTAAACAAGATAACTCAGATCGCTCTGACTGTGCCTGGCACACGGGCGTTGCCCCCATAGCTGGTGGTTTGGACATGGGGGGTCTGAAGGGAAGGGTTTCTCAGGCTGTGCATTCTCTGACCTCAGTCTATTCTTCTTGGCCCGGTTCAGCCCTGGCGCCTCTTTCAGACCCTGCACCTTGACCCAGTCTCTGGTGGCTGTGACCGTGCAGAGTGCAGCCAGCCCATCACCTCCCTTTTGCAGACTCTATACCTCTACTGATCCAACCAAAATGCTCACCAGCCTTTCCAGGCACCACATCACATTTCAGACAGCCCTGGCTTGCTGGTCAACTGAAAGCTCTAGGTCTGTGCAGTTGTTGGTTTTTTTCCCCCATGATTTTCTGTTTCTTGATTCTTTAAAAGTCTAGATTTTGTATATTACGATTTGTCCCTAGTACATTTTATTTCACTAGTTTTTATTAGGTTAAACTTTTTCATGAGTCTTGTCAGATGTTTCAGAATCTTAATTCTGTTATTCAGCTTATTAGCATCCTTCTCATCTGAAGCCATTGAAAAACTGCTAAGTGGAGCTGGGCCATCCAAGTCATCAGTATAATTCATGTTTCCAAAAGAAGGGGTCACACCGGCAAGCCCGGGCCCCCGAGCGCTGCCCCGATGCCAGCCACGGCTCCACTCCCACCCTGCTGGTTCATTTCCCATTTTGTTTGGGAGGATGTCAGTGGAGACTTTCAGAAATCAAAATACAATGAATCGGGCATCCAAACTAGTAAATCTGCCAATATCACACACAAAAAAGACAATAAATAATGTGGTCTGTTTAATAAGTTTTTTAAGTATTGGCTAATGTCCACCAATCTGGGGAATGGGGCGAAGTATGACCCCTCGGTCCTGGAGCAGGGAAGGGTCTGTGTACCCTGGACCAAGTTCCTAACGCGTGGTGCCTCAGTTTCCTTGTCTATAATAGCAGAACACACGTCGCTGTTTTACTAATTAAATGAGACAATGCTAGTACATGTCTGGCTCACGGCAAACAAACTAATGATCGTCATTATTTTAGGTGCTTGCAAAACCCATCACAATCTGGAATGTTTCCAGAATGTTGAAACACTGAACACATCTACAAAATGAGTCTTGAAAATGGGACCTGGGACTTAAGAGCGAGGACGCAGTGCGGTATCCTGCCCAAGGGCAGTTCGCCCCTGCACCGTGTGGGGGTGAAACACGTCCCTTGACAGGAGATTTGTACAACCCAGTTCCTTCTCCCTGTGATCCCGTAAATTGGTCCCGTGTCTTTCAGATGTGGACAGGCCTAGCGAGAGTTTCCCTCCCACTGTCATCCTGTAAATTGGTCCCGTGTCTCTGGGACGTGGCCTCGTGTGTGCACCTGGTAACTCATCTCTGTTCTCTTCTCGTCTCCCTAAGCCACAGACTTTCTCACCATGTGCGTCTCCTTCCCGTTCATGGTTCCTGGTGCTCCGTCTCTGAACTTTGGATGTTTCACGCGTTCCCTTTCTTCTGATTGCGGTTGACAGCAGAGTTAGGCAGACACTGAGGGTGTTGGGCCTTCCAGCTGCTCAGGTCCCAGGACCCCTGCACTGTAGGTGTCCTAAGCAAGCACCAGTGATGGGCTGCAAGGACACAAGGATGCGGGGACAGGCCACAGAAGGTGGGACTCGCTCCGGTCCATGCTCATAACCCCCTTTCTAAATCACACACTCACTGTCACAATCACACTCACACAGGTGCACACTCACCTCGGCAATCTGTGCAACTCACACACTCACTGCCACACTCACACACATGCATGCACACACTCATAACTACATTCATCCAGGCACACACGGACACACTCGTACACACGTGCACCCTCACACACACTCTCGCACTGTGGTGATCCCAGAGGCACGGGTCCCAGGTGATGTGTCTGCACCTTCCTGTAGCTTCTCTTTTACGAAAGGAACAGACCCTTTAAGATGTTTTCTGTCTGTAACACACGCTCATTGTAGAAAATGTGTGAGCTTTTTGTGAAAAACACAAAGAAGAAAATAATAAATCACTTCTAACTCCCATCTTCATCATCCAAACTTATCCCTGTTAACAGTTTGACACCTAAACACTTTGGTCTCGTTTGTTGTTGTTGTTGTTGTTGTTGTTTTGAGACAGGGTCTTGTTCTGTGGCCCAGGTTAGAGTGCAGTGGTACGATCATAGCACCTCCTGGGCTCAAGTGATCCTCCCACCTCAGCTTCCTGCCTAGCTGGGACCACAGGTGTGCCACCACACTCAGAGAATTTGGTTAGTTTCTGGGGAGACACAGTCTCACTATGTGGCCAGGGTTGGTCTTGAACTCCTTAGCTTCCCGAAGTGCTGGCTTACCAGGTAAGAGCCACTGTGCCTGGCCTACTTTGGTCATTTTTTATGTAAAAATAATTTTTGCTTTATGATACAAAATTCGCATCATAAATACACACTGGTCAGGGTACACACACTGCACAGAAGGAAATGCACACTTTCCATTTTTTCCAGTCTCCAACACCATTAGCCTGGGTGACAGAGAGAGACCCTGTCTCAAAAAAAAAAAAAAAATAGAAAATAAAAAATAAAGAAAAGAAAAGGAGGAAAGGAAGAAAAGAAAAGGAATAGCGAGCTTGTGTGTCCACAGGCTCATCTGTCTTGGGCGCTAAGCCTCTTGGGCAGGGGCACCTTCATATATGTGTCCTTGGGCCTTGGCATGGGCCGGGCTCTGAAGCATGTCGCCGGCAAGCATCCACTGAAGGCGGAAATGAGGAAGTGTATGGGACTGTCATAAACTTAGATGTCAAACTACTTTCTTTACTAGAATTTTCCAAATTAGTCATTTTCTTCTAGATATTTACTACAATTTTCATTTCTTGGCTGATTTTCAAAATAAGATGATACATGCCATGGCTTTTCCGAGATAGAACTGACACGGACAAGTCACCCATTTAAGTTGCACGGTTCAGTGGCTTTTCGTTGACGCAGCGCGTACAGCCATTTCCACATCCCTTTTAAAGCATTTTCACCACTCCACCGGCAAACCTGTGTCCCTCGGCCCTCCCAACCTCCGCCCACTCCCTTCCCCGTGCGTGGTACTGAGGGGACTGGGGATCCCGCCTTCTGCAGTGCGGGAGGAGCTCCCACGGACGTCGGCCCCTGGGCTTCTGTCCGTCTTTTGGACACGTTCATTCTTCTGCGCCTCTGCCTGGCTCTCTGCTCTCTCCCTTCTTTTCTGTTTCTTGTTCACGGGAGATTGGGGCCCGTTTCGGGCATCTGCAGCCTCCTGTCTGAATGCGAGGGGAAGAGGCCGCTGCGTGGAGAGGCTCCTGGCCCACCGGGTGGCCGTTCGAAACGCTCATCCTTCTGTTTCCAGTCCCTGATGTCTCACGTGCGTTTGTAGCGTGGTCTGTGTCTGTGCGTTTCCCCCGGGTGCCCGCAGGCTCGTCCCTCTCCCAGGAGGTTCCCGGTGGGTGCTGCCCTGGCGCCTCTTCTCAGTGCCAACCAGCTTTGACAGCAGACACTTCACCTCACAGGAAACATAGGGTATCTCTGGGGCTTTCTCAGGCTTCCTCCTGTGTTCATTACTTTAATCTCTAGCCTAAATTCCCTAACTCTGCATTTGCTGTTACTCTATTTCCTCGTCTGAACTTGAGCTCCAGGTGGGAAGCTGTCCACTGAAACAAGCACACATTCACTCCATGAGTCGCCGTCTGCCGAGTGCACTCTTGGCGAGGGAGACGACTCTGCTCTGGGGTCTTGGACTCACGTGTGGTGCAGAGGATAAGACCACCTTCCACTCAGCTAATAGATGTGCTCCTGAAATCTGTGTAAATTAAGATGCTGGAAGTGGATTGAAACGTAAACACGTCGCTGGTGGGCTCTCTGACGAACAGGTCTGCATGCCAGATTCTTTTGTAATGTAAGCAGTTGCGTTCTTGCCGAGCTGTTGGCAAGGGAGGAGTTTTATATGCTGAGTTATCTCAGCCCGGGGGGCATCTGAGCAGTGACCTGTGCCTTCTGTGATCACTTCCTCCCCTCTTGCTGCACGTGGTTGAGGCCAGCAAGCAATGCCGTGCGGTTTTTATATTTGTGAACGTTTATAATCAGTGTCCTTAATGGACAGCTTACATAACACTTCCCAATAGTGCCTTTGCTATTATGAAACGTTCCTGATGCAGTGAGCAGCCAGCGCTTCCTCCGAACATCTCATCGTTTCGTTTAAACCCACAGCGGAATGCAGACGTCCTTTCTGTCTCTGTCAGTTTTGTGCTGTGAATGTAACATTCCATTTCACTACTGTCACAGTTCTGGGAAATGGCCTTGGATTTGATGAGAACACCCCTATGAGTTATTTGCACTGCCCAGCCCTGCACCGTGTGCTGTGAAAGGTTGTGGGTGACTGGGGCTTTCTTTGCCCCCAAATTACCTGGCATCCGTGACATTCTGAATAGAGGTATTTCTCTTTTGTGAATAGAGTGGTTTACTTTTATGCAGTTCAATAAATATTTGTTCACATGTTGTGTTAAGCATGTACCCAGTGCTGTGTGCCGGGCACTGCAGTGCCTGAAAATGCACCAGACACAGCTTCCCTGGAGAGGCTGAAAAACTCTGTGGAAGAAGGCAACACCCTACGTAATTAGCTGCATTAAAAGCCACACTC